TTTCAACCAATGACGCGACCACCCTCACCCTCACTCCTTAACCCTAGTCGTCTCGCTAGTATGTTGTGAACGCAGAATACAGAGAAGCTAATCCCTTCCCCTTTTTTTAAACACTTAACAATACTAAGATTATAACATTATAAATAACTATTATCGATTGTCTATGATATATTGATAACAATATTTATATATCGTCTATATATTTATTTTATCCTACAGACCGTCAACTATCGACTACTATAAATCTATTATAATCCTACTTACGATATTCAATCATATATATTTACTGCTATGCTGCTATACAACAACAATTTTTATGTCAAACAAACAATAACATTAAATTTTATATTATTTATTTAATCGCGAGTACTCGTAAGACCGTTACAATATACTCCGGTATTGATCTTGGAGTACTAACTTTGAATATTTTTATAAGTTATTACTTATAAATATGTAACTTTATAATTAAATAGGTTGAATTTATTGTTGAAGTTAAAGCTTTTGTTTGTTGAAAAATCTCAGAGAAAATTGCCGTATTTGCATACAACTTTTAAGCGTTTCTCAGAAAATCGAGGCATTACTCATGCACTAAAAGAATTATTGAACGCAGGTATAATTACTCTGCAATTATAGAAAAAATTATTTACGTAAATCTTTTTGAATTAATAAGTGTTGTATAAAGCTTTCTATAGATCAGAGAACTATCAAACGTTATGAATAATTGTAGACAAAATGGATTGAATGAGCTCATGAATCATGAAGTTTTTAAATGCACGAAATATTTTATAACTGGTTGACTGACTGGACGCACTACCTTAGAGTACCTTTTCCAGTGTAACCAGAAACAAAAACAAAGCTTTGTTCCACAACGCTTTTAGGGTAGCTAGCAGTGACGGATAGTTCATGCTTCTGAGAAACTAATTTAACAGTTTTGAAACTGGTTTTACTGACTCTCAAACAATGTTAAGTAACTAAAGTATGCTAAATTCCAACTATCAAGTCCAAAGACTATGGTGAGACTTTAGACGAGCTTTTTACACTTTAACGGGCACCATACACTTGTAACAAAGTAGAATAAGTTGACAAAACGCTAATTAATGGACGGTTCCTTCATTACTACTAAAATATAGTATGCCCCTGAATAAAGTATAGAATTGTATATACTTTCATGCTTATGATATATTTGACCAGTCACGTTACGAATAAATGGAAGTCACATAAGTTTCATTTCAATTTTATATCACTTGATTTCCATTTATTAGTTTATTAATTTTAAACGTAAATAGGATGTTAACGATTGAGGATCAATGAAGCTTAAAGGTTTTTACATATCTGAAATTTTTTAACTGCCCGCTAAGAAAATCGAAGATTTAAAAAAATCGGGAAGTTATTGTTTTCACCCAGTCTTAGTTTACCTCGGATAGCCTAGAGGGAGAGTCTCTGGCCGCCAACAAAGAGTTCTGGGTTCGATTCCCAGGTAGCACGAAAATATTTGTTTCTTTTTTCGATTACTGTACAGGTACCAATTCGTGCAACCTTCTATCTCTCTCCCTCCCTAATATTTCTTTTAAAAAAACCATCTGTGAATTTTTACAATAGTTGAATTGTAAAGTTCACAAACACATATTGTATAATTTGCTCTATAGCATTCGACTTTTTAAGACTCTTGCTAGGCTTATTTGTTGGATAAAATTGAGCCCAAAACAACACACAAAAGCCGGAGGAACTGGGAAGAACCCAGTCCGGCTTTTAAAATTATATTTAACAAATATAAATAATGCTGTGAAGCGGGAAAGAATAGGAGTTACGGATAATTATTACGTGAAGCGTTCCAACATTCACGTAACAGGATAATTGGTAGGAAAGGATTGAGAAAGGATTGTGGAGAGGATCATCTTAATGTGAGTGTATAGAATATGCGCGAAAAAATTATTCGATTGCTCGGACTGGGTTTCGAACCCAGAACCTTCCGAAGACATGTCGGCTACTCTACCATTTGAGCTATCCGGTCTATACTAAATTTCCTTTCACTTATTCTATATACATTAAGCCACACCGTCCATCTTACGGCTAGCATTTTTTCAGCTCGGAGAGCTCAAAATAACACACAAATTGTATTTTTGAGCTCGAAGAGCTCAAAAACGTCATAAGTGCAATTTCAAGCGTTTAAGTATCGAATTGGCGGGAAGTTGCAGGGATCGCCGTCAGGGTTAACCGTTTTCGTAATTTTTTTCACTACAGATGTCACTGGGTATAATCCGGAATGTTATCCAGGGAATCTTGTTCTTTCTGTGTAGGAATAAGAAATCAATTTGTTGAAAATTTTAAACAATGTGAAACTGTGAAAAAAATTTTTATTTCTTCAGCTAAGAAATAAAATTATTTAAAATTTTTAACAAATTTATTTCTTATCACAACAAAGCCTATTTTTTCAAAAGAAATGTTTTCTCTTAGTGTAGAAAATTGTGAAATTATTATAGTTAATAAAACTGTTTATTAATTTTAAAGGATAGTTATCACGTTCGTAAATATTCAAACAGTCAATTGATAATATTGAATTTACTTTTTGATTTATTTATAATCAAATTTAATGCAACATAAATTAAAAATTTATTTTTTAGTGGACAGTTAAGTTATGATGCAAACTTTTTCATGATGAGTGATTAATGAAAATATGATTAAACATAGTATTGTATGACTCATTAAAACCATTCAATAACATTGTATTTCAAGCAAATAATTATATTTCCGATTGATGAGCTTAAAAATATAATGGAGCCGATACGAAGTCTAGTGAACCCTATGAATTGTCGTAAGCTGTATTTTAATCAATTGAATAGGTCAAGATGAATTGGAATTCTAAAATAGAAAAAAATTACTGCAGGTCCAGCAGATTCAGATTTCCTGTATTTTGTCAAGGATTTCGCTTAGGGTATAGTCAGAGACATACCAATGTACAATAAAATAATAAATAGATATATAACATTGGAATAGAGTTATCAATGGTAGATCTTGACAAAAATAATTCACAGTGTACAAAATACGTGCTATCGATTTTCAAAATTGAAGCTTAACTTTTTCTACTGGTATTCTTAAATCTTATACAGCTTGTCAATTACGGTTGGCAAGCTTGAGATTTATAACTTTAATTATAAAGAGAGACAATTTTAGTAAAAATGTGGTTTGTTCTTAATTAATTTTTTTTTTCTACAATTCAATTTGAAAAATGCGCACGTCAAGAACGAAACCATGTAATTTTTAAGAAAATTCTGCTTTTTTTTCCTAATTATTGATATAACTTTTTTGCGGTATGCTCGAAATGAAGACAGTTTACTTTTAAGTAAGCATCAAAAAAGATCGAGCAAGAGTTGGTTAGTTGCGGTATTTTATGTGCTTTTTTACACATTCGAACAAATCAAGAGCGTACTCACCAGGGGGTTTTAACAGGTTTTAACCTCACATAATCGTAAATTCTAGGAAGTAAACACTTTTATGTTTCGCTTTTAATCAAACCGCTAATCAGCAGCTAGAATAAATGTCTTGTATAAAACAATGCACACTTACTGAGATATTGTTTTAATCTTGAGGAAGTCCGTTCGCTGCCAATAATTAATAGAATTTATTAGATTATAGTTAAAATCAAATTTTTTTCTAATTTACAGAGATAATTCAGCGGTAGCGTCAACAATTTTTGTATTGTAGTTCTTACAATTTATATGATGGTAATTTTTACAATAATGTGATTGTCAGATTAAAAAAAAAAATTAAGATTTGATTTGATTAGATACTTTTGAAAATAGATATTAAAAAGTTTGGAAAATCCAAAAGTGTATGCCTCATAATCTAATTTTTTTCATAATAAAATTGATTAAAATAAAATGCAAATACTTTGAAATCTTTCGCGCCATTGTTCACCCAGAAAAGAAAGGTACTGCGCATGTGTTGTAAGTGAACCTTATTTACATACACTGCCGACAGAAAGTTTCCGGTCAAGTTGAAAATTTATTAAAACAATTATTAAAAGTAAAATGAATCAAGAGGAAATTCAAAGACACGATCGTAGACACGTTGTAAAATAACATAGCATTTTTTTTATAGATCAAGTTAATGTGTTCATGTATCATATTTAAATTAAAAAGTACACGGCAAAAAAATCCTATGAAAAATTACGATGGTAACATCGTAATCCAGGACTAGACTTTCAGTATGTTGATTTTTACGATGCTGCCGTCTACAGAATACAATTTGAATTATTGAAAATTACGATGTTATTTAGTAAATTTTTTTTCCGTAAGAGCAAATGAATAAGGACGCATACTATATGTTTTAATAAAAGAAAGACAGAGTCCAGTAGTTTGCGACGCCACCACCGAAAGATGACCAACTACTGTATGGAGAGTCTTATTATGTGACTGAACAGAAGATATAGATGTTCCCTCTGATGGCGTAAGGGGATAAACCTTGGGCTTGAGTCTTACTGCAGCCTCGCTTCAGTAAGCATCGCTTGGAGGTCATACTCACCATTTCGCAGTGTTTTAAGTATGTATTAATGTGAATTTTCATGGAGTTCCATTTATACGTTGTGCAAATTAATTACATGAAGAGTGTTCTAATAGTAAAGGCCGTCTATTAAATTAGTTCCTTTAATATAATTTAATTCGACCACGCCTTGCCGTGTGGGGCTTTCGCCCAAAATGGAATCCAATGAGTTAAATAAAAAAAGAAAGGCATTGGATGCCGCTGATCTCTCAAGGATCCTAAAAACATCTAAAAATGTTACAAAAAGAAAAACTAGACTTGAAACCTTTGAATTAGAAAGAATTTTCAAAAATTCACAGAAAAATAATTCTCAAGTGAAACCAAATCTCACAAGATCAAGATCTTCATCGATTACGTCGACATCATCCCCTTCATAAGATAAAACAGACAACCAAGATACCTGTGAGTGGAAAAAACCAAAAAAAACATCAAAAGTACCTACCGAGGTTACAGAAAATACGATGGAAACAGACAACGCATTTGCAGCATTAGATGGGGCTGCAGAGGGCACTACAAGTCAATCCATCCCATCAAGAAGAGTAAATATGAACGCGCCAAAATCTAAACCGCCACCTATCTTCATAAATGGAGTTGATATCAATGACACCATCAATAAACTAACAACAGAGGGCATTGACAAAAACTTATTTACTACATATGTAAATAAAACGAACCTAAATATTATATCTAAAAATCATGAAACTTACGACAAAATTAAAGTGTGTTTCAAAAACAAAGTGGAGTTTTACACTTACACAAAAAAAGAAGATAAACCCATCACTATACTCCTCAAAAATATCGCAGGTATTTTCACCGAACAGCTTATCCAGAGCGAAATCAACTATTTAAATCTACTACAGGTCAAGTTAATCAAAGTGAAAAAACTCCCAATGAAGTCTGAACAAGAAAAAAAACATTTCATAGTCCAAATCACACCTGATAGCCTCTTGAAAAATCTGGTCCAGGTTAGACGACTGTGTTGTCAAAAAATAAAATGGGAAAAACTGAGAAAACCAAAAATTATTCAGTGTACTAGATGTCAAAGAGTAGGCCACTCTGCATCGACATGTGACATGTTTTACAGATGTGTCAAGTGCAGTGAAAATCATGCAAAAGGTGAGTGCAAAATCACGAAGGAAGATGATAAAACCAAACTAACTTGTGCAAACTGTGGTCAAAAGGGTCACCCAGCAAATTATCAAGGTTGCCCATACCTAAAAATAGCAAATCAAGAAAGACAACATAGTCTTAACAAATTTCAAAGACCGAGAAACACCAATAGACCTCCTGTTGACAGATTTATACAACCTGGCCTACTATACAGTCAGATGTCAAATAATCATCATCAGCGAAACCAGCCACAATTCCACCAAGAATTTCCTCCACTTCGACAACCTCAACAACTACCAAGTGACCATCAAAATTTCCCAGCCCCTCCACCATGGGCAATTGAATTAAGAAACTGTGTAACAGGCCTTACAGATGAAATTAGGCACATTAACGAGAGAATAAACAACATCGATTTCAATTCTCAAAGACTTGAATTCATTTATGAGTACCTTGGAATCCAAAATGGAGGATACTAAATACAATCAGCCTATAAATCAAAGACATAAATTGGACGTAGACTCTCTAAGTTCAAAAAAAATTAAAATCATGGCAATCAACGTTAATTCAATTCAAACTAACAAGAGGAGATATGAACTAACATCCAGAATACAGTTACACAACCCAGATGTAATCCTCATATCGGAAACCAAACTAAATAAATCACACAAATTAACTCTACAAAAATATACAATAATCAGAACCGACAGACCAAATAGCAAACAAAGTGGTGGAACAGCCATTGCAATAAGAAACAACATCAAACACGAAGTAATCTCTCATCCTTCTTCAGTCAACAACAGCACGATAGAATTTACAATAATAAAGCTGCTTTCTTCAGAAGATCAAAATGGAAAAACCTTTATTGTCAGCATCTATGCAACACCTGACAACAAAAAAGTTTTTATAGATGAATTAAACAATCTATTCATTAAACTTAATTTAAGTAATCCTAATAATTCATTTATTATAGCAGGAGATCTCAACTCAAGAAGAATAGATTGGGGAGACTCATCAACCAATGAGAGAGGAAAATACCTCATAAGATGGGAAAAAGAATTAGCTCCAAGATATCAAACAAAAATTTTTGCTACTAATGGTCCATCCTACACGCCAAACAACTCATATCTAGACTGCTGTATCACAAACCTCACCATTTGTGACCTTACAAACAACAAAATTCAGACAGTTGACTATGATAGTGACCACAGGGCACTTCTATTTACGGTCCAGCTCAGATCAACCATCCAGCTCAAGCAAGTAATCAAAAAATTTAATTTCAAAGCAACTAATTGGTCTCAATTTTCTAAATTTTTAGCTAAGAATTGTAATCCGTCACCGCCAGACGACAGAAACTTATCAAACACAGAAATTGACTATTTAGTAGAAACCACAACAAAATCAATCAGAGAAGCAATAGTTTCAACAGTTCCACAATTTAAAAAACAAGACAGTATTTTTAAATATCTCAATTCAAGAATTAAAAAACTTCAAAACAATAAATCATCACTTATCACCAAACTCCATATACTTCAAAGACAACATCAGTCCCATCTCCACCAACAGGAAATCCAGAATATTAAACAAATGATCAAACTAATAAAAGAAGAACTTAGAAAAGAATTTAGCAAATCAATTACCTGCTACTGGAGCAACCAACTTAGACAAGTCAACCACCGAGACCCAAATGCCTTTTTCCCAAAAATTAATAGAATGTTGAGACCCAAACAGAACATTGAAATAGCCAATCAAATAATAAAATCAGACTCAGACCTAATCACTAATAAAACAGTGCAAATGAACAATGCTTTCTCAGACCCAATTACTAGCACAACAACAATAACCAATCCAATAGACAAGCTAAATGTAATTGGTAAACACTACCAAAAAATCAACTCTCCAAGATACCTAAACATCGGTACATCATTAAAAAATATAATAGATCATACGGTCAATAACATGAAAAAGAAACTAGAAAATTCTGAGAAGACTGGCACATCGTTAACAATATTTGACCAAAATAATAAAGCATCCTTCCCGAAAAATGAAGAAGATTGTCAACTAAGTTTCTGTAACACTTTCACGCTAAAGAAGATTCTCCAAAAACTTCCAAACAAATCATCGAGTGGTCCAGATGAGTTACCGTCAATCGTACTTAAGCATCTTCCTGATAACCTAATACATACAATTACTATTTTATTCAACAACGCACTAAATAACGCCTACTTCCCAAAGGCCTGGAAAGAAGCAAAAGTTTTACCATTGTTGAAAAAAAAACAAAGATCCAACTAAACCAGTCAGCTACAGACCTATCAGCCTCACCAGCAACCTGGGAAAAGTCTTTGAAATCCACATAAATAAAGTCATCACCAAAGTCTGTGAAAATAATAAAATCATTCCAGATCAGCAATATGGATTCAAAAGAAGACATTCCACAGTGCATGCTGCACATGTAATAGTTACTGATATCCTGCAAGGCATCCATCACAATGAATTGATCGCAGCAGTACTCATAGATCTTGAAAAGGCATTTGATTCGGTGTGGCTGAATGGTCTCATTTACACGCTCATGAAGTCCAATTTTAGTGAATGGCTAATTTTTCTATTCTATAACATGCTTCATGGCAAATCATTTAGGACCTGGGATGGTAGCAATCTATCAACACTTCTATTCTCAATAGAAGAGGGTCTTCAGCCGACAGATTTGGCAAAGCATTTGCTGATGACTTTATTGCATACTTAATCGGTACCAACCCAGTGAGGCTAAGAGATGAATTGAATGAACTACTGAACAATATACACTAAGAGAAAACAGATTGCGGATTTTCAACTACAAACAGAACACCCTGACACAAAAGAGCTCATTAACGTCCCACATAAAAATGAAGTCAAGTATCTTGGTTTCCATTTTGACTACCTGATGAAATTAAATTCACATGTCATCAAACAACTTGACAAAGCAAAAAAAGCCTTTCAAGCAAACAGCAGGATTTTTTACTCCAAACACCTATATCCGAAAGCCAAGATTATTTGCTACCAATTACTAATTAGACCAATTTTAACATATGGATCGCCTGTTTGGTGGAATATCAACGCCGCAACTATGGAAAAGATGAGGGCTTTTGAACGCAAATGCCTAAGAGCTTGCTGCAGCCAATACAGATCGAGAGAGTCCAACTTCAAAAAGTTCATCAGCAACAAACAGCTATATGACCTAGCGAACATCCCTAGGATTGATAATTTTATTATTAAGCTAAATAGAGATTACTTTTGCAATCTACGAGACATTGAAAATAGTGACTTAAAACTAATTAACGACATGGATCCAATCAAAGGAGAAAAATATAATTCCTCAGGTTATATTTTCCCTAACATGTTTATACACTATGACAGACTAGACTTAATTCAAAACCACAATAACATACCAATTGTATATCATTACACAAGACGTAGCAATGATAAAAGAATTAACTATACGGCCGATTGTTTTACAAATAAAAGACATAACTTTAATTATTCTACTGACATACCATTAAGAGACCAATTAGACTTCACAAGACTGAACGACAAATACTGGTGGTTAGCTGAGGAAACACCACACAGAAAGCATCTTAGAAAAAGATTAAAAACTGGCTGGACAGCCATTTACTAATATGGCCATTTGTACATACTGTATTAATTTTAGTAAGTAAGGAATAATTTAAAAAGAGAATAATAACATAGATGAAGTTTTATATAATTTTACATCACAGCTTTAATTTAGTGAATTTTATTAATTATTATATTTTACTACATATGTTAACAGTGACTATAAGCCTAATTTAAATTTACTTAACTTTCTGTTATTGAAACTAAAATAATTGCGAGATGCCCGCTTACAGGGACAATCAATTATAAAAATATTAAGATAATTAATGGCTTGTTTATAAGTTAATTTTGCAGCCAAATATATAACTATAAGACTTTTGTATCCATTTAATGCAAATAAACTTTATTAAAAAAAAAAAAAAATAAACCTTGGGCTTGTGGCGGAGAGGATACCGGGTTCGATTTCTCGGTGACACAGAATTATTTTTTCGATGAACTAAACTTCTTTTTCATTTGAGTGATAGAAATTTACGATGTTGCATCGTATAAATTATAATGTTTGAGTTTTGGTCCGGCACTACAATGTTTTATACTAAAAACTACGATGTTACCATCGTAATTTTTCATAGGATTTTCTTTCCGTGTAAACAAGAAGCTTGTTCAGAAATTTTCCGTCGGTAGTGTGTTACGGCCAGCGTAACTAGCCCTATATTTTTTTTATATATATAATCATCTCCAAATTATTATTTGAATGTACGTAAACCTGAAACTTATATTTTTCATGCTGAGGATAGTCCCTGTTAAAAACGACGATATTCGCTCGCATAACTCCGTCCCCTCTGGTAACGAAGAAGAACCAAGGCCGCGTTACCCCGTTTTTCAAATAGGTGGGATTTAGGCAACCCAACCACCAATCCGACTAAACCTCGATGCCACCACCCGACTAGAAATTACTTTGGGATTACCCAGCGTATACATCTGGACCTGATTATAAACCAGAAATTCTCTGAGGTTAATCAAGAAATGTTACTTAAAAAATCGTTAGTCTCCTAGACCTTCCAAGCAGGCAAAAGACGTGCCTCGTCTTAAAGATATCTTATGCGATAAAAGACTATAGATACGTACAATTCTACATAATAGTCTATGATTTTCTGTTCTCATTCTTAACATCAGCTTACTTTACATGACCAACTTTTTACCGATCTACTGTGTTGTGTGTGGTGACTAGGTGAAGGTTACCACCGAAACTGTGATTATAGAACAGCAAGAGGTATTAGTAGTAAAGAAGGAGAAAACTTTATAGTGCTATGAAAATAAATCAATATTCCTGGGTTATGTATGCAACAATGCCTACATAAATGTCATTAGACACTTTTAAACGTCAAAATTTTATTGCGATTTATACAGTCTCTATTAACGTTGAATTGCTACAAATTTAACCTTATCGATTCGTGAATTTTTATTAATTTAATATGTTTTTAAATCACAAAAGGCCAAACAAACTTTATTTGCATAATTGACAAAATGATTTTTCGTTTCAATTTCTTTATAATATATATATATACGTATCTGAACGCTGCTGTTAAACGTAAATTAAAATAATTTAAACTTTTGACTGTTTGATAAAAAAATTTATCGCAGGAACGTCCAGGCAATTCATTTGTCTGTTTTTAAAACTCGTTTGACGAAAAATGGGTTCATTTTAATCAAGATAAATTTACTCAGTTTACATTTTAATCTATTTTAAATCCAGGAATTCAATTTCATGCATACGTCTTTGTGATTACTTTTAAATTTGATTGGGTTTTACTATTTACCTCTTACTAAACAATTCAACTGTTATGTAATTAATTAAATTCTTCGTGAGATGAAAGGAAAATTTTATTTAAAAAAAAAAGAATGAGTTTCGTTCTTTTTTTTTTTTATTCGTATTCCATCCATTTGATATTGTGTTATTGTTTTTTCACACACTTATGTAAAACGCCTCGAGTGTAAAAATAGCAGTACGATCGATTGGTCTGTATGTTTCACATACTCGCTATTTGCACGTTTATTCTACTTCTGTTCCATTGAATTTTTTCCGTATGCCTAATTTTTTTGCTTTATCGATCTCACGCTCTATTTGAACGGTAAATAATATTAAAATGTGTCATTGAGATGCAATTCTAACCGATTTGTTGAAAATGTGCTTTTTAAATGTTCAATCAATCAGATAATTTTATATATAATATATTCATTTTTTCTCTGTCTATGAAGAGAGATCAATCAATATTTATATCTTTTAAAAATTAGCAATTAGTGAAAGAACAATTAAAAGATTGCTGCAATGTTATAACTCAAAAAGCATTTGCAATTCTGGGTAATCTAATAGAAAGAAAATTTTCAATCCAAAAAATAAGAACAAAAATTATTTCAACGAAATGGTCGATTGACCATTTATAACCCGAGATGAATTCAATTAAAAATTGGATATTTATTAACATTGACTGCATACGCTCTCTGCAGTTTTGTACCAGTTTTTTAGTTATAAAAAAAAAACTAACTGTCAGAAACTTTCAAAAAACTAAAAGTCTGTTGATGTATTTGTTTTGAGATTGAAAAAAAATTAAAATAAATTTTTGACCGTCTAATTATTTGACAATATTGTACCATGACAACTACCTTAAACCCAATGAAAATAAGTAATACTTGATTGAAAAAAATAAAAATATTTTCTTTCAAGTGTAATTCATGATTGAAATATTTAGTTTTGTTAATTTAAGACAAAACAATATACCTTCATGGATTTTATGCGGTACTTGGCATCAAACTTGATTAAATCTTCTGCAGATTCTTATACTTCATCCAAGAAATTTCTTTTTCTTGGATTAAGGCCCGTCGTTTAAAATATTACCGACTCTTATTACAATTACATAGGCCAAAAAAGAGGTCAACCTCGAAATAAGAGATAAAAATCTATAAATCTTTATTCATAAATTCTAAATATTGACTCAAAAGTCGCAAAAATATTATGGACAGAAAAAAAACATCTGCTCGAATCAAGTAAATGATTTTAAAGAACTTAATTTTCTTCATTTTAGTAAAAAAAATTCTTAAACTAAGAAACTTTTTTAGATTTAAGTAAATTTTACTTGATTCAAAAATTTTTCGTCTTAATTCAAGACAGTAAAACTCTTCAACTTAATTTTTTTTTCAGTGTGTGGGCGTCTTGAGATATATTAAAGGTCAAAGATCGAAAAAATCAATTTATTGCAGACATCTCGCTTCCTATGCTTTAAATTGTGTTTGAATTTGTTACAAAAGTTGTGGAGCACCAAATTTCCTACTAATTTTGTCAAGGAATTTTTTAATTATTAAACTGCTTTTGAGATAGAACTACACGAAAAAAAGTAAACTGTAATATTCACTTGGATTCCGGTTAGTTTTTATAGTTTCAACAGTAAAGCGGACATCGGGGTGGCAAAAATTTAAATATTACAGAACTTAATGTAGAAAGTATAATAGCCACAATTTATAATTTAATATCCAAAATAAGTGATTAGTAGTTGTCAGTATAGTAAATAACGACTCTTTCATCTTTAAAAATTACAGTTTCAAACAGTAAAAATTGCCATTTCAATATATAGTCCATATTATGAAGAGAAGGGGAACTCAGATGAAAGAGAAGGGGGTCTCACTCTGGCAGAATTTAACATTTCAAACAGTAAAAATTATACTTTTAAAATATACATTTTACCAGTCTAAGCAAGTCAATAATTACAGTTTGATTTTTAGCGTTGCGTTTAAAATTTACCATTTTACTTTGTAAATATTGACGTTGCTTGTATTAGAAATTTACTAACTTTATTTTATACTTTTTACATATCATAACATCATTTTTTAGGTTCGAAATGATAAATATTAAAGTCTGAATTCTTAATTATTATACTTAAACATTTTAGACATTTACATAGCGAATATTACTGTTTGAAATAGTATTTTCTTCCATGTAAAGAATAAATTGTAACGTTTAAATTGTAAATATTACAATGGGAATAGTAAAATCACGATTTTACTGTTTGAAATGGTAATTTTTAGCAGTTGATCATTACTTATTATAAATCGACTGTTATTTATTACAGTTTACTTTTTTCCGTATTTAAAAGTGCGAAGCGCTCCGCTATACATGTCATTGATTCAAAAATACTAAAAAAAATTTTTTTTTTACTAATTTTTATTAGTAAGAAAACGAAATTATTATGAGTTTGGGAGATAAATTGTGAGATAAAGAATTTGATTATATCGATCAAAGGGAACGGTCTGTAAAGCTTAGAAGATGCAAGACAAGAAATTCTTGAAATAAATAGATAAAACAAAACTATAATTAGTTCAATTTTTTTGTGGTAAATCAATAAAAAGTTATTGAACGAAAGAAGATAATTAAAACGATTACTCTATTGAAAGTGTTCACTTTGACACTTTTAATCGACAATCCAGAGAATAAAAAATACAGAGGCCATAGAAACTATTGTCCTCCAGTAGAAAGCATAAAGTTTTATCAAAAGCTGTCAAAACCAAAGAGGAAAAACAAATAACAAACGGCGCTGCGTTTCCGTTTCAGCTACCAGCACCCTTTACAAGCTTCTTTTCCATGTTTGTATGTTTACGTGTGTGAGTATCATACACGAGCAAGCCATTCAACTTTTTTTTCTCCATGTGGCCTTCAATACATGGCTTTTATAAGTTTTTAGTCCTCCATTCAGTTTAAGTTTTCTTGGCTGTGAAAATGAATGAGTGAAAATTATATAAATGTCGTCTGAAAATGATCATCAATAGCTTATACTGCGTCTATTATGTTCTTTTTTAAGTCTGTTACACTTTATGTTGTTTCTATAAAAAGATTATATGTGTCACTAGGAGTATATACCTATAAAGACAATGATCGAGAGACCTAAATTGAACTATACTAGTTTTATTTTATATTTGACACGCGATCCTCGAATCTCAACCAAATGATTGATCATGCGATCAGACTCAATGTTGAGCTTTTTCCTCCTTTTCACCTTTGGGTACAAATTGCCGCTG